CCTTTTTTACCATTTAAAAATAAATTACACACTTGACAAAATTGTCATTTAACTATTTTTCAAATATTTAGGATTTCAAAATCACCAAAATTTTCTATATTATATTTTTCCTTATTTAAACTACATAATACCATATTCGTAAAAAAAAAAGAATACTAGCAAAATCAAAGTAGAAACTAGCGTGTACTTTGAACTCCTATAAGGTTTAGGAGTGTTGTCTTTGCCGGTTAACTCTTTAAAATTTTACTATTTTAGTAAAATAAAAGAAAATTAATTGAAAGAGAATAAGTAGAAAGAAAATAAAGTCTTGTGCAATTAGTATTCCTTATTCTTTTTTTTCTTCTTAAATATAAGATGTTACTCTTGTAGTGTGAATACTTCAAACTTTATCATTGTCCACTTTACAGCAAATAACTTAAAATAATTAAAGGGTGCAATACAGATGCATTAAAATTTACCAGAAAAAGAAAAAGAAAAAAAGAATAGATTTAATTCTAAATGAAAAACTATTGAAGTTCCTATACCTAAAACCTATAAACCTAATAAAAAAATATCTATATATAAGTTTACAAAATATAGGAATACAATTTTAAAATAATTGTAATTATATTATAGTAATAATAAACTATAAGATATTTTATTTTTTTTGTTAAATTTATACATGTTAAAGCACAAATCCAATTAGATAATTGAAGCATAAATAAGATAAAGAAATTTATATAACAAAATTAATAATAATAAATTGCACGGATTTCTTTATAAGAAATTTAAGGATGAAATAGTAGAAAATAAGGTATATTATAAATAAGTCGTCATTTTTAATGTTTTTATTTTTTGGCATTTAGTCATACTAATGATAGCTTCACTATATTTTTTTATATTAAACTATTTATAGTAAAGACTAACTCAACCGTAATTATTTCTTAGACTTTGTAATTTCAAGTTCATAACTATTGAAGTCTCCTATACATCGTAAATCAAACCTATAAATATATTAGGATCAGTAAAAATATTATATATAACTAAGTTTACAAATGACAATACTATATTTGAAAATAATATAATTATATTAATAATAGCTATAGTGTACTTTAAAATATTTGTTGAGCTTTTACACGTTAAAGCACAAACCCAATCAAATAAGTGAGGCATAAATAAAATACTGAAATATATCGGAATTATACTAATAAATCGTATGTATTTTTATAAGAAATTTAAGGATGAAATAATAAGAAAAATATGTATTGTAAATAAGTTGTCATCTTTTTCTTGTATTTAGTCCAAAAAATGACGATGCCTCACTACGTTTTTTTATATTAAATTTTTTATTATAAGATATTAATTCAACTATAGTCATTTTTTAGATTTTACAATATTAATTTCTGGGAAGCTATAAGACCAACCATTTTATTCTCTTTTGTGTTTTGTTTTCTGTATTAGGCCACCAAAACAATAATAATTTTCATAAGACCACATACGTCGTCATAAATCACAATAAAGCATCTAAAAACTTATGTCGAACATGATTTTTTCATTTATTGAGCTAACTAAATGGGAAAACATTAGAATTTTTAATTTTTTTAAACTTTTATTAGACAAATCCATAGTTTGATAATATTTACGTAGTTTTAAAAAAATTATGTACCCATTAATATAGATACACGCGCAACGCGCGTATCGTAAAGCTAGTAGTTAAAAAATATAGTAATACTTTTAGTATAAAAGTAAATTTCTCATTTAAAAGGAAAGAAATCTTTTTTTTTTCGCTATGTAAATTTCTATTTCTATTATATAGAAATGGTCGACCAAGGGCAAAATTATCATTTCGCTCAAAGGAAAAAGTGCCTTCCATCTATTCATTTTACACTATATGGGTCTAGAAACATTTTCTCTTCCGACTTCCTTCTCTTCTATTCCAGTCGTCTATTATATAGAAAAGGAAAGATGGTCGACCAAGGGCAAAGTTATCATTTCGCTCAAAGGAAAAAGTGCCTTCTGTGACGACCCGACCCGTCGTCTCATGTGTTACTGCTCCGTTTCCCCCATTTTATGCTTCTTCATGTTTCATTATCAGTGTTTGGTGTGTTAGAGTTGATTTGGATTGATTTTGGTAGGAAATGAGACACTTAGTATCTTTAAGGAAGGTTTAAGTTGGAAAAAGTTAACCGGACGTTGACTTATGAGTTAGAAGGTTCGGATGTGGGTTCCGGTGATTCGGTTAGCTTCGGGAAGTGATTTGTGACTTAGGAGTGTGATCAGAATTGATTTTGGAGGTCCGGTGTAGAATTACGCTTGAATTGGCGAAGTTAGTATTTTGGCGAATTCCGGTTGATGGGTGAGAATTTGATCCGAGGGTCGGAATGGAATTCCGAGAGTTGCTGTAGGTTTGTTAGGTGATGTTGGATATGTGTGCAAATTTTCAGGTCATTTGGACGTCGTTTGGTCGGGTTTTTGATCGAAAGTGCATTTCGGAAGTTTTTGAAGAACTTAGGCTTGAATCCGATGTGATTTAATGGTTTTAGCGTTGTTTGATGTGTTTTGATGATTGGAGCAAGTTTGAATAATGTTTTAAGATGTGTTGGTGCTTTTGGTTGAGGTCCCGAGGGCCTCGGGGTGATTTCGGGTGGCAATCGGAAGGAAATTGAAGTTGGAAATTGCAGGTTCTTGGCTGCAGCAGGTATTTTCGCATCTGCGGAAAGGCAACCGCAGATGCGGTTCCGCTGAAGCAGAGAAGGCTTCGCAAGTGCGAAAGAGGGTGAGATTGAGCAGTTCTGCAGAAGCGGAAGTCGTTTCGCTTAAGCGAGTCCGCAGAAGCGGACATGAGGTCGCAGAAGCGGTTTGACCTGGGGGGTGAAGTTTCGCAGAAGCGAGAAATTTTGTCGCAGAAGCGACCCTTGTGATTTAATGAAATTCCGCTTAAGTGGACAAAAACCGCAGAAGCGGTCACGCGAAAGCTGGCGTGGGGACAGCAGAAGCGGAAACCCCTGAAGGCCAGTAGGAGTTTATATTCATTTTTGCTCCGCGAGGGTTATGTTATTTCCACCATTTTTGAGCGAGCTTGAGAGCTTTGAGGCGATTTTGAAGAGGGATTCAAGGAGGAATGATTAGAGTTAAGTTCCTTGGCTTAAATTCACGAGATTATGTTAGATTTAACATGAAAATTGGTTGAAATTCATCAAAGGGGTAAAGCTAGGGCTTGAGTTTTTGATATTTCAAATTGGGATTTGATAGGTCATTTGAGCTCGGATTTGGGAGTTCTTGGTATGTATGGACTCGTGGCGAGACGAGGAATCCGGTAATGTGAGTTTTGTAATTTTTCGAGAAGTGGGCCCGGGGCTCGGGTTTTGCTAGTTTCGAGATTGTTGCTATTTTTCAACTGTTTTCGATTGGGTATTGTCCCATTGGCATATTGTGATGTATTCGCTCTGATTTTGGTTATATTTGACGCGCGTGGAGGCCGATTTGAGGGGCAAAGGCGTCGCGGGCTAGAGATTTCGCCGGTTCGAGGTGAGTAATGATTGTAAATGATATCCTGAGGGTTTGAAACCCCGGATTTGCACCCATAGTGCTATATTGGGGTGACTTGCACGCCAGATAGAGAGCGTGGGGTAGAGCACCATTGGGGATTGTGACTTGGTCCGTCCCGGTTGTTGATTTTACCGCGTATTTTGCTATGACGTGTTGTTTTTCACTAGGACTTGGGCTTATTGCCGACTGTTTGAACTCCCTATGAGCTATCATCACTGTTTTCCTCACTATTTGAAATATTATTTGAACTCAGTCCATTGTCATTACACTGTTTCATGAACTCAGCTATATTTTTACTCAACCTCGAGTTTTAACTGATATTTGAACTACTGTTTGAGCTGAGCATTATTGTTTCTTTACTGATGCCCGAGGGGCTTATGATTATTTTTGGACTGATTGAGGCCGAGGGCCATATGTGAGGATATGCTGAGTGATGTGAGGAGGCTTTCAGGCCTCGAGTGTATTGTGAGGAGGCTTTCAGGCCTCATGTTGATATGTACAGGCTTTCAGGCCTTATGTTGATATAGCGCTTGGGCTGTAGGAGCCCCTCCGGAGTCTGCACACCCACAGTGAGCGCGAGTACCCATTTAGAATTGGACATTGGTAACAATGACACTGTCATTCGTGTTTTGGTCAGGTAACAATGACTGACCAGTCAGGTAACAATGGCTGACCAGTGGTAACAATGGCACTGAAACACGCGTTGGGTCAGGTAACAATGGCTGACCGGTCAGGTAACAATGACTGACTAGTAACGAAATTTATGCCTGAGGGGCAAACTTTTATGTGTTCATCTTGCATACCTATTTGTATTATTACCTGCTATGCTGTGATATTTGTGCCCGAGGGGCGGATTTTGTGTGTTAATCAGCATTAACTATTTTGAACAGTTTCGTAATTATTGAAAGGACCTTTTTCGAAAGAGATTTGAACTGAGCCGAAACATTTCTAAAGAGTTCTCTGATTTCACTGTTTTCTCGGAAATTGTACCCGGCTACTGTACAGCCCGTTGGTTGCTTTACGTGATTTCTTGCTGCTCAGTTATTATTTACTTCTATTACTCACTGAGTTGGAGTATTCACTTTACTCCCTGCACCTCGCGTGCAGATGCAGGTATTATACACCCGGTAGCGGGTTTTGAGCTGGTTGAAGGTATTGCTATTGTAGTTGAGCAAGGTGACCGCCAGCGTTCACGGCACCGGACTTTGTCTTTTGATTTTCAGATTCTGTTTAGTATATTATTGGCCCTGTAGCATTGTTCAGACTTCCTTAGATGCTCGTGACTTGTGACACCCCGGTCGAGCTGTGTTGGGGTTGTAAATATTGTTAATTATAGTCATTTAGGCGTATCTTACTATTCATTTATGTTTACTTATTTTGAAAGAGGTTACTTGGGTTAGTTGGCTGGCCTTGTCTTCACGAGAGGCGCCATTATGAACAGTGATAAATTCGGGTCGTGACACCGTCCATCTATTCATTTTACACTATATGGGTCTAGAAACATTTTCTCTTCTGTTCTCCTTCTTCAAGCTTTCAACAATACTTTCTTTTCATCTTCTTATCTATCTGCTAGATTTCAGGTATATATCTCTCAATATTTGCTCACATTTCTTTGTTTTACTTTGTCTTCTTTCTTTCTTTGCTTCTTTTAGATCTGTGTAGCTGTTTCCAATTTCATGGATAAATTTCTTTGGATTTTGTGTTTTCCAACCAGACGATGCGGAATCACCATTTTAAGGGTTATTCTCTGTCCAATTTCATTGGTGTTGCCTTCTTCTCGCTGATTTGGCTATATTTCTTCTTCTTCTTAAGGTATTGACATTTATTATTCTGCTAACTTAAAAACAAAAAGGATATTTAATTTTACTCCTAATGCATGTTGTTCTTCCTTTTCTTTACTTTGTTTTGTATATATTATACTACCATGAATTATGAATCGCGAGTATGTTTTCAGGTTCTTCATAACTGCCTCTTCACACACACCTTGCTCTACATACCCGAGGAAAATAAAGTAAGAATTCATGATAACTCAATTTTGATAAAGCACTAAAATTGGTGTATGGGTTGAGATTGACAAAAATTGGATGAATTAAGTCAAATAGCTATTGGAAAAAAATTGTGTATGTGATTTTCTATTGATAGATTTATTCATTATATCATGTGTTAAATAAGGCCTAAGATGATTTGGGAACTCTTCTTAAAAGTTGTGTTCGAGCAACATCTGTTTGTTTCAGTTTATATGGCTAAAAATTTATGGAATAGGGAAGGTCTGTTAAAGGGCCTGTAAAGGGACTGCATTATATGATGACTCATTATTGTTGGTGGGATTTGAAAGTAAAGGAATGGAGGAGTAGGAAACAGAGTATTGAGGATTGATAGAGATTGTATGGAGTTGCAAGACAATAATGGTCCAGAAAAAAGGACGAGAAAATAGCACAGATATCCCACAACTTTTAGAAGCAGACAAGATGGATTGAGATGTAAAGGCAAGTATAAGAGATCTGAGTAGCTTAATTTATTTATTTTTTATTCCCTATTTGTTTGGCATTTGCTAATACTGTATGTATTAATGGAAGTTTTGCATCCACTTGGATTGAAGCTTGGGATGAGCTCAATCTGCTACTAAAGACGCTGTCAAGATTCCCAATGGTGCTTCCAAATAAAATATTTCATAGTTATTTGAGACTTTTATTTTATTTGCAGTATTTATAGCATTGCGTTTATGTAATTTTCTCATCTGCTTTCCGTTACTTCTTTTACTTGGAGTTGTAGGTGTAGTCAAAATTTGGAATCAGTGAATGCAAAACTCCCATTAAATTCTTGTATACTGTAATAAGCCATTTGGTATTATAGTTGTTTGTCTTCTTGGGAATTCTCATTCTCACATCTTTAAGCCTAATCCATCTTATTGTCTATTGATATGTTCATGTAGTTAGGTACTAGATCAACATATGTTATCTTCACCCATACTTTCTTATTGTTCTCCACTTTTATGCAATTTTATTGGAATATTCTTTAAGTTTTTATTTTATTTAGATATTTTGTCCGAAAAATACAAGTGATGGATGGGATCTTGCCATTTTGCACACTTAATCAGTCACTTCTTGATAATTAGTTTGTTCTCCAGTTAGTTCAGTACACAAATGCACATGGGTTTGTGTATTTACAATGAGAAATATTATTGCATTAATACATACACTATGTTTTAACATAAATATAGTATGTATTAAAAATATTCTTCCATGATGATTACTTCCAACTTTTGCAAATTAAAACTATTACAGGGAACCTAAAAAATGGATTATCTTCAAGGTCATGGAAGAGTACTCAAATGTCCTCCTCTATAACTTCAATTAGTAAAGGTTGTGAACTATTTGTCTTGGTACCCTTCTTTCTGTCCGTCAAGGCCTCAATATGTTGTTCTCCACTTCCTTTTTGGGTATAAGTTGTGTTTCTCCATGTTTATGTTTATCATTATGATTATTGATGGTAAGGCCTAGCTCTCTCTGCATTTAGTTTCTTACATCAATTGGTGTGCTTGCTTTTGTGCTTTTAATTTATTTCACCGCTTTTTCTTTATAACTAATGGACTTTTTGTGTCATTTAATAGTGATATGATATTAATGTATTTTTTCTTTTAATTGGGGCAAGTAAAATGTATTGACCAACTTTTTTGGACATCATTTGCATTTCATATATTTGTCACAATTAGCTTACCGAAGAAAACATAAGGCTTAGCATTTTTTCGATTTTTTTGTTAATTGTTAAGTGGTTAAATATAAGGGTAGGAAGATCCTATACTGCTTTGGTAAAAGGTTATATTTCCGATGCATCTTTAGATTGTAGTAATAGTGACTTGGCCTTTACTTACTTTGTGCCTCTTCTCTAAAGGTCCATAACTCGACTATTGGGTATAATACTCTGGAGTATCTTGTTTGCGGAGATTGCACGCATCTCTTTATGTCATGATATCTTTCAATTATTGCTATGGAACTTTTATCAGTTAATGTTTTCTATCTCAAAATGTGTCACGACCCAAAACCCCGCACTAATCGTGATGACGCCTCTCGTGAAGACAAGGCCAGCCAACTAACCCAAATAGTCCCTTTCAAAGTAGTTAAACATAAATGAATAGCAAAATACGACTTAAGGACATTAATTAACGAAGTTTACAACCCAACACAGCCCGACCGGGGTGTCACAAGTCACGAGCATCTAGAGAAGTCTAAATACAACTACAGGGCCAACAATATACGGGATAAAATTTAGAACCAAAGGAAGTAATCTGGTGCTGCGAACGCTGGCGGTCGCTCTGCTCAGCTACGATAGCAATACCTTCAACCAGCTCAAAACCCTTTACCGGGTGAACAATACCTGCATCTGCACGCGAGGTGCAGGGAGTAAAGTGAGTACTCCAACTCAGTGAGTAATAAAAGTAAATAATAACTGAGCAACAAGAAATGACGTAAAGCAACCAACATGCTATACAGAAGCCGGGTGTAATTTTCTAAGAAAAACAGTGAAATCTGTGAAATCTTTAGAAATACCTTGGCTCAGTTCAAATCTCCTTTAAAAAAAATGATCTTTTCAGTGATTACGAAAACGATTTCAAAACAGTTAGTGCTGACACGCACAGAAAATCCGCCCCTCGGGCACAAATACCACGGTATAACAGGTAAAGAGGCAAATAAGTATGCAAGATGAGCACATAAAAGTTCGCCCCTCGGGCAATATCTCAAAACAGTACCGGCCCCTCGGGCATGATTTATGTTCCTGGTCAGTCATTGTTACCTGACCGGTCAGCCATTGTTACCTGACCAAAACGCGTATTACAGTGCCATTGTTACCACTGGTCAGCCATTGTTACCTGACTGGTCAGTCATTGTTACCTGACAAAAACACGTATGACAGTGTCATTGTTACCACTGTCCAATTCTAAATGGGTACCTGCGCTCACTGTGGATCTGCAGACTCCGGAGGGGCTCCTACAGCCCAAGCGCTATATCATCATAAGGCCTGAAAGCCTGAACATATCAACATGAGGCTTGAAAGCCTTCTCACAATACACTCGAGGCCTGAAAGCCTCCTCACATATCACTCGAGGCCTGGAAGCCTCCTCACATATCACTCAAGGCCTGAAAGCCTCCTCACATCACTCGACATATCCTCACATATGGCCCTCGGCCTCAATCAGTCCCAAAAATAATCATAAGCCCCTCAGGCATCAGTAAAGAAAATAATGTTCAGCTCAAATAATAGTTCAAACATCAATTAAAACTCAAGGTTGAGTAAAAATATAGCTGAGTTCATGATTCAAATGGACTGAGTTCAAATAATATTTCAAATAGTGAGGAAAACAGTGATGATAACTCACGAGGATTTTAAACAGTCGGCAATAAGCCCCAAGTATGGCAATCAGCCCAAGTCATGATAATATCAAATAAGTTTCAGTCAAATACGCGGTAAAATCAACAATCCGGACGGACCAAGTCACAATCCCCAACGGTGCTCTACCCCACGCTCGCTATCCGGCGTGCAAGTCACCTCAATATAGCACTACGGCGTGCAAATCCGGGGTTTCAAACCCTCAGGATATCATTTACAATCATTACTCACCTCGAACCGGTGAAATCTCTAGCTCGCGACGCCCTTGCCCCATCAAATCGGCCTCTACGCGTGTCGAATCTAGCCAAAATCAGAGCAAATACATCACAATATGCCAATGGGACAATACCCAATCGAAAACAGTCGAAAAATAACAACAATCTCGAAACTAGCAAAATCCAAGCCCCGGGTCCACTTCCCGAAAAATTACAAAACTCACATTACCGGATTCCTCGTCTCGCCACGAGTCCATACATACCAAGAACTCCCAAATCCGAGCTCAAATGACCTATCAAATCCCAATTTGAAATATCAAAAACTCAAGCCCTAGCTTTACCCCTTTTGATGAATTTCAACCAATTTCCATGTTAAATCTAACATAATCTCGTGAATTTAGGCCAAGGAACTTACCTCTAATCATTCCTCCTTGAATCCCTCTTCAAAATTGCCTCAAAGCTCTCAAAGCTCGCTCAAAAATGGCGGAAATAACATAACCCTCGCGGAGCAAAAATGAATATAAACTCCTATTGCCTACAGCGATTTTCGCTTATGCGGTCCCGCTTCCGCATATGTGGGACCGCTTCTGCGGCCATTTCCCCGCTTATGCGGTTTCTCACTTAACTTACCACTTCCGCCCTTGCGACATATTCTCCGCTTCTGCGGATTACCCAAGACCGCTTCTGCGGTTATTCACTCACACCTGCGGACCCGCTGATGCGAAAAGGGGTCCGCTTATGCGGAACTCATCAATTCAACACAAGATCGCTTCTGTGCTTTTCCACCCGCTTCTGCGGTCCATTTCCGCAGAAGCGAAAATACCAGATGACAGAAATCTCAGACCTGAAGCAGCTTCCAAAAACTCTCGTTTAACCACTCGAATTCACCCCGAGGCCCCGGGACCTCAACCAAAAACACCAACACATCCTAACACCTCATTCAAACTTGTTCCAATCCGCAAAACACATCTAACAACGTTAAAACCATTAAATCACATCGGATTCAAGCCTAAGTTTCTTAAAAACTTCCGAATTACGCATTCGATCAAAAACCCGACCAAACGACGTCCGAATGACCTGAAAATTTGCACACATATCCAACATCACCTAACGAAGCTACAGCAACTCTCGGAATTCCATTCCGACCCTCGGATCAAATTCTCACCCATCAACCGGAATTCGCCAAAATACTAACTTCGCCAATTCAAGCTTAATTCTACACCGGACCTCCAAAATCACTTCTGATCACACTTCTAAGTCACAAATCACTTCCCGAAGCTAACCGAACCACCGGAACTCACATCCGAACCTTCTAACTCATAAGTCAATGTCCGGTTGACTTTTTCCAACTTAAACCTTCCTTAAAGAGACTAAGTGTCTCATTTTCTACCAAAACCAATTCAAATCAACTCTAACACACCAAACACTGATAATGAAACATGAAGAAGCATGAAATGGGGGAAACGAAGCAGTAACACATGAGACGACGGATCGGGTCGTCACAAAATATTTGACTCCTTATTCTCCATTTTGAACAGGACAAGAAGTTGTTTGAAGAATACACAGTAGCAGATGTTTTCAGTAATACACAATATTTGCAGTACTCTATATGGCTCTTAGTTGGACTATGTTATCTCTTTTGTTTATAGTGCAAACACTGATAGCAACTTATACATTTGGTTGATCACGTAAAATAGGATGGTGGGTAGAAAATAATGAACAAATAAGTCGTATGCTTGAGTTTGATTTTGTATGTATATTTAAAGGAAGTGGAAGAAAAGGAAATTCTTGCTCAGCTTTGATAAGTCTAGGGAGGCAATATATGTACTATGTTTGTCACTATTTTCTAAGGTTGGAACTGTGCTTCTGGTGGTTGTGAACATATGCCAATTCTAAACGTTTATAGTTTTGTAGGGTCGCTATGTGAATGCAATATTAGACATGAATAAAATGACATTAGAATTCAAACTGTTGGGCCCGTGCTATGCACGGGCAATACTCATCTAGTAAAGTAAATATTTGGCTTACTTAAAAATGGGTGGTGCAAATAATTAACAAGTGAATTGAAATTGGTTTTATAAGAAAAATAGTATAAGTAGAAGATATTACTCTAATCAACATACTCAATTAAGTAAAAAGACTTTTCTTTTTTAAATGTTTATATTGCTTATAGAATAATATTAACAGTTGCCTCATTGGAAAATAAAATTCAAAACTAAAAATAATAAAATCTTAGAGATGAATAATATCTCAAGAAAGATTAAATGAGTTGGCTATATTAGTCGAAAAGAAATTATTTGAAAATATTAATTATAAAAATATTATTAATAACATTGCATCTCAATAATCTAGAAGAATAGACTTCAAATTGAAATATTTATATTATAACCTTTTAAAAAAATTAGGCCTCACATTAAACTTTAACTTTAGACCACACATGTGCTCGAGCTGCTCCCGGTATGGGGTTAACATAGAAAATATATGTTTAGAAGTCATGAGCTAAAATTATAGGGTTATGAGTTTTTTTTTAGGGTAGTGAATACCTCTAAAACTCTAAACTTTGGCACAAAATATCAGTTGCACCTCTAGCTATTTGTAGTCTTAGTTATCCCCTAAACTTAGCTATATGATAGGTTACCCTCTTAAATATTGATGTGGCAAAAAGCGTGAATACCTCTCTTCAAGTGGCCATTTTCCAACTGTTAGTTGTCACATTGTGATATATAATGATTTATTTGTTACAAATTGTGTATTTTTTTCTTGCTTCATTTTAATTTACAGTACATATTTTACCTCAACTTTTATTTTATTTTTAAAATTTTTACCATAAATACAATGTATATTTATTTTGATTGTGTTTTTTTTTGGGGAGGGTAGGGAGGGGGGGGGGGTATAGGAGTCAAATTTATATAATTAAAAAAAATTGGTTGGAACCCCATTATTTTAGCTAAATAAAAAAAGTTATACCTAATATAATGGAGTACCAATTCTATATTTCTTGTTCTTCTTTTTTGGATATAATGCTATTTATTTGAATTATGTATTTTTATTTTCGAGACAAATAAGTAAAAATGACCTGGCAAAAACTCTATTATTTTTTACCAAACAAAAAAAGTATAGCCCTCATTTGAAGGAAAAACAAAGATTACGATAATATGATTAGTTTTTTATTTTAAAAAATTATTAAAAATACATGTCATTACACCCAGCCCTATATCAGAAGGCAAAGATATGTTAGTTTTTTTTTTAAAACGAAAGATAGAATTTTATTTATGTGGATTCCCTCTCTTTGTCAGAAAATACTGTGCTGTGAACTTACTACGAAATAAATATTTTAATTTTAACCAAGTCTGTTGATTTTACTAATATATAGAAGAGCGAGAGAAGCGGGTGGAGGTCGTCATGTGTGCTTGCTATTAAAGGGTATTCTGGTCATTTCATGTTACTCCTAAAGTTTGCTGAAGGCTAACGCGTGTGAATCAACTTGACAGCTGGTGCAAATACAAGAAGTCTGCGGCACTTTTGTATGACAGATAGGTCACTCTCTATCTCTATCTATTCATCTTCTTTGTTTTTCTCTGTCCGCATTCTGCTTCATCCTCTGATTTCTTCTCTGTTTCAACTTTCAAGTGAGTGATGAATTTGTTATCACTGTAATCTATGTGTTTGTTTTGAATTATTGTAAGCTCTTTGCTGTTTTGATAGCAATTTGGTCGCTACTTTCGATTTTATGGAAAATCTCTGTACCTTCCCCTTCAATGTTGATTTTTATCGATCTCATTGGTGTTTGTTTTTTGGGGGTTTCCCAGGGCTAGCACAATATCATATGTTAATTAGTCAATTTTGGGTTTTACTGATTATGCTTTTTGAGAAATTTTGGACTGATTATACATCTAAATCTCTTTATATGCTTTTCTCTACTGTTGCTTTGAATAGTATGTTATTTTCAGTTCTGTATGTGAAACAATTTACTAAGAATTTTTAGTGATAGCAAGAACAGAACTTCTTCCATTTTTCTTCATAGAATAAGTTGTTTTCTTTTTTAGAATAAATGAGCCGCCAGCATTTTGTTGTAGCAATTGTTCAGTTAAGTTAACGTCACATGAAATGCCTAATGAACTCTTGAATCTATATTTAGGCAGTACCAAAGAATCTGAACACTTCCGTACCTACCTTAGATTATATAACAATATTTTTGCATTTACTTCCCTTGGAGTGAACTATGACAAAGTACTAGCAAAAAGAAACCAAGGAATTTATACATTTAGAGTACAAGGTCAAATGTATCACTTTATAAATGATTTAATTCCAACAAATCGGCAACCAAGAAATTTACAGTTGTATTTTTACGATGAGAATGCAAAAATATTAAATCGAATGGCTTCCTCGGATATACTTCGACAATCGATTGTTGAGAAACTAATGGCCATACTAAAGATAAATCCTTATTGTATCTTCTTGAAATCTCTAATACATATTCCAGAATTATCAAACTTTTATATTGTATTAAAATGTGGCTCTAGCTTAGATCAACGAGTATATAACCTGCCAACTGTGTCAGAAGTAGCAGCATTATGGCTAGAACAAGAAACGAGCAATAATAGTTCTGCACCCCATATTCGAATTTATACTCACAGTAACAAAAGCCAATTAGATTATGGTTGCTATGATCCTTTGCAATATCCACTTTTATTTTCTTATGGTCAAAACGGCTGGCACTGCGGTATTCCAAAATCGAACAACCTAGAAATAAATTGAGAAAGCGAGCTTATTATGAGACCGAGCAGCTTCCGAGTGTCTCTAACATGTGTTCTATTGATGGATTACTTGATATGGAAGCGGATGTTCTGCAAAATGGGAAACGAAAAAGAAATAATGTTTCTTGTCGTGAATACTACTGTTACAAACTCCAGATGAGAGATAATGAGAAAAATGGAGTTTTACATTCTCATAGATTATTTCAACAATATTCAGTTGATGAATTCATAAAAGTAGAAACTCGGAGATTAGATTTTGCCTCATTTAACCAAGATTTATTTTGGATTGATGTACTACAAGGACTTTTAGATATCTTGAGACTTGGCGAAAGAGAAGCTTCTAAGATAGGAAAACAAAACTTTCTTCCAACAATTTTTACGGGTGGTCCAAGAGATATGCGTCAACGTTATATGGATGCTATCGCGTTAGTGCAGCATTTTGGAAAGCCTGATATATTTCTGACCATAACATGTAATCACTCTTGGCCTGAAATAAAGGAACATTTGCTCCCAACAGATGAAACTCAAAATATGCCTGATTTAATTAGTCGAGTATTCAGAGCAAAGGTAGAAGAGATGAAAACAGATATATTAAAAAGAAACATATTTGGAAAATTTGCAGCCTTTATGTACACTATAGAATTTCAAAAACGCGGTCTTCCACATGCCCATTTTCTTGTTATACTTACTGATGACTACAAATTATTAACGCCCGAGGCTTATGACAAATTTGTTTGTGTTGAGCTGCCTGACCCTGATACATACTCTTACTTACATAAGCTTGTCGTTAAACACATGATGCATGGGCCTTGTGGTCATTTAAATCCTACAAATTTATGTATGAAAAGAAATGAGTGCAAATTTAAGTACCCCAAGAGCTTCGCTGATGAGACAACTGTCACGACCCCAAATCGGACCCGGCCGTGATGGCGCCTCTCGTGAAGAGAAGGACAGCCGACACAATTTCTAATTAAACCCAATCATTTATGCCTTTTCAATTAATCAGATATTTCATAATATGAGTTTAAATAAATACTGCGGAAATAAATACAGCCCGACATCGGGGTGTCACAAGTCACGAGCGTCTACTAGGGTCTAACTACAACTGAAAGTCTAAAATGTACTGAGTACGGATAAATAAAATAAAGAGGGAGAAAAGCAGTGCTGCGGACGCCGGCAACCACCTTGCTGAACTCCAATGACTCTGCCTCCGATCAGCCAAAACCCGCTACCGGGTGTATAAATACCTGAATCTCCACACAAGGTGCAGGGAGTAAAGTGAATACTCCAACTCAGTGAGTAATAAAGGTAAATAACAACTGAGCAGTAAGAAATCACGTAAAGCAAATCAACATGTTGTATAGAAGCAGTATAAAACCCTTTAGGAAAGCAATGAAGCTGTGAAATCTCTTAAAAACATCTTAGCTCTGTTCAAACCTCTTTTGAAAATGACCTTTCAACAGTTATGCAAATGAATGCGAAGCAGCTAGTGCAGATAAACACACAAAATTCGCCCCTCGGGCACAAATACCATAGTTCAACAAGTAAAATGACAAGTAAATAGGAGAGATAAACACATAAAGGTTCGCCCCTCGGGAACCATGTCGACAACTCCGCCCCTCGGGCAATACCTCAGAATAATACCAGCCCCTCGGGCAATCACATAGAATGGTACCAGCCCCTCGGGCTATCATATAGTACAATATCAGCCCCTCGGGCTATATCTCACATCACAATGGGTACCTGCGCTCACTGTGGGTGTACAGACTCCTGGAGGGGCCCCTTACGGCCTGTCACGACCCGGATTTCCCACCCTCGAGGGTCGTGATGGCGCCTACTAATAGGAGCTAGGCAAGCCAACTTAATTAACAAATTCATTAAACACATGTTCCTTTTTAACAATTAACGGCATTAAATAAAGGCGACGAAATTAAAATAATTAGCGGAAGACTTAAATTTATATAACTGAATAAAATTTAGTAATTCCATCATACGTCTCTACCCCGGGACTGGAGTCACATGCTCACGAACATCTAAGGAGTACTACATACAAAGTCTGAAAGAAGCATATTCTGTTTATCTCTGGTACAATGAGATGACAGCCAAATGTAAAGATAGAAGGGAGACGCCGGGCCTGCGGACGCCTGCAAGCTACCTCGTGTCTCTCTGGACTGAAGGTTCGCCCCCGTGCTAATGCTGCTGCTGCTGCTCAATACCTGGACCTGTGCAAAAATGCACAGAGTGTAGCATCAGCACAACCGGCCCCATGTGCTGGTAAGTGCCTAGCCTAACCCCGGCGAAGTAGTGACGAGGCTAGACTGGACCCCACATAAACCTGTGCAATTATAAATATACAACAGAAATCAAAGTACAAGGCAACTAATAGTATGGGAGGGGAAACATGCTGTGGGGAGGTAACAATATTAACAGTAAATCCAAAGAAATCAATCCAGGTGCAATTTATAATTTCCGGCGAACAAGAAACTAATACCAACACTAAACACATTTGTATCAATAACTGTCGCGGCGCGCAACCCGACCCTAATATATTTCAACACTGTTGCGGTGTGCAACCCGATCCACAATTATCACTGTTAAGGCGTGCAACCAGATCCATAATTATCACTGTTGCGCCGTGCAACCCGATCCACAATTATCACTGTTGCGGCGTGCAACCCGATCCACAATTATCACTGTTGCGGCGTGCAACCCGATCCACCATTATCACTGTTGCGGCGTGCAACCCGATCCACAATTATCACTGTTGCGGCGTGCAACCCGATCCATAATTATCACTGTTGCGGCGTGCAACCCGATCCTCATATAACATTGTTGCGGCGCGCAATCCGATCCGTAATGTATACCTCTCAATCTTGCCCATGCAACAGTCATAAATAAAGGCAAGGGAGTAAACAAGTATTTGGAAGGAAATCCCAACAAGGGTACACAAACAACCAATAACAACCACGCAAGAGTAAATCGTTATTTCTCTTTTTCTTTCATTTTCATATCCTAGTTCTCATTAGCACTCGTGTCAAGCTACAAGGCATTTCTCATCACATATACTCTCACCATTTGTGTTTCAGACCGAGCCAATGCTCCACGAAGTTCCACAATCACAATATCCTTCATAAGGTGTTTACAACGCATAGAAGCCATCAATTAAGCATGGAACGCATAACAATATCCAAACAATCCACATATAAGGGCTCACGGTCATGCTAGACACCAATGTATAGGAACTCGTCACCATGCCTATACATCGTACTCGATCATTTAGCAATTAGCAATCAAGACCCAACTCCTATTCCCTCAAGCTAGGGTTAAACCAAACACTTACCTCAACTTCCACGGCCAATACAATCCTCCACAATCGCTTTCCCTCTCGAATTCGGCTCCAACTCAACCAAATCTATGCAATAAGGACTTCATGTTATCAATGTATGCTAAAAAAATCAAACCCAATGACTAATTATAGCTTTTTCATCAATTTACCCCAAAAGGTCAAAAATGCCCCCGGGCCCACATGGTCAAAAATCAAGGTTCGAACCAAAACCCGTTTACCCATTCACCCATGAACTCAAATATGTAAGTTATTTTGGAATCGGACCTCGAATTGAGGTCCAAAAACCCCAATTTTAGAAAACCTAGGTTCTACCCTAAATTCCCAATTTCCCCATTAAAAGCTTTGTTTTGAAGTTGAAATTATGTTTAAGGATGTTAAGGAGTTTAGAAAATCAGTTAGAAATCACTTACCAATCGTTTTGAAGAAGTAGAATCGTTTGGAAAATCGCCTCTTATGTTTTGGGTTTTGAAAAAGTGAAAAATGACTGAAAATCTAGACTTTATATACTGTACTGGAGACCCGGCGCGGACCGCACAAAAATGCCCCGCGGCCGCGCCAAGGAAGGGTGGGGAAACCCCTCTCTGAACCTTCTAGCGCGGACCGCACTGTTTTGGAGCGCGACCGCGCTGGAGGAATGAACCCAAATCCCACTCTCTGAATCTCCCAGCGCGGACCGCGTGATATGGCATGCGGCCGCGCTGGTCGAACTGGAACTCACTGGCCCTCTGAACCTAGCCACGCGGACCGCACAGAAATGCACCGCGGCCGCGCGGCTTCAAGCGCGGACCGCGCGGAAATGACTGCGGCCGCGCTGGGGGCCTGCAACACCTGGACCTGTAAATTTCTGATACTTTTAAGTCTAAGACCCTCCCGGGACCCACTCAAAACTCACCCGAGCCCTCGGGACTCCAAACCAAACATGCACATAACTCCAAAAACATCCTACTGACTCATCCGTGCGATCAAATCGCCAAAACAACATCGAATTAGGCCTCAAGACCCATGATTTCCTTCCAATTTCCACGAAACATCAAATTTTACTGCTTCTAGCTCAAAACACGTCAAATGACGTCCAAATCTAACCAAACTTCACAGCAATTGCTTAACTCATATTTAAGACTTGTTTCGGGCGTCGGAACCAAAATACGAGCCCAACAGCATAGTCTTCTAAACAAATAACACTTTTCAATTCTTTAATTATTTTCAGAAAACAATTTCACGTAATAATTCATTCCTCGGACTCGGGACCTCGAAATTTGATTCCGGGCACACCCCCAAGTCTCATTTTTTCCTACGGACACTCCGGGACTGTCGGATCACGAGTCCGGGTCCGTTTGCCCAAGATGTTGACCGAAGTCAAACTTAATCAATTAAAACATCAAAATTTTATTATCTTTCTCACAAATTCATATTTAAACATTCCGGCTACGCGCCCGGACTACACACACAAATTCGAGGCAACCCCCAAGTGAGGTTTTCACGGCCTCAGAAATACAGAGTGAGTAGGAATACAGGTGATGGCCCTTTGGGTCGTCACATTCTCCACCTCTAAAACAACCGTTCGTCCTCGAACGGACAAGAGAAAGAAGTACCTGAGTCGGGAAAAAGGTGGGGATAACGGCCCCGCATATCAGACTCGGACTCCCAGGTCGATGCCTCAGGAGGCTGACCTCTCCACTGAACACGAACAGAAGGAAAACTCTTGGACCTCAACTGACGAACCTGCCGGTCTAGAATGGCTACCGGCTCCTCCTCGTAAGATAGATCCTTGTCCAACTGGACAGTCCTGAAATCTAACACGTGGGCTGGATCGCCGTGATACCTCCGAAGCATGGATACACGGAAAACTGGATGCACGACTGATAAGCTGGGCGGCAACGCAAGTCTATAAGCCACCTCTCCCACTCGATCAAGAATCTCAAACGGGCCAATATACCTAGGCCTTACTCAGTCAAAAATCACGTAAGCCTCTCGGGCAACAGTAAAACAGTATTTCTCAGCCAAAAACATCATTTAAATATCATTTGAGTATTAAAACAGAGTAAACATGGCTGAGTTTTGAAAACAGTGAGAAATAACTGTGAGCACGTGATTTTTGCCCTATATGAATTACTCCCAGAAATTCAAAACAAAATATCTTCTTTCAGTGTTTGCAATTTTGTGGATTTTTGTGATATTTTTTGGTAATTGTTCGCATTTTGTCTGTGCATTTTAATTCATAAAAATACAAAAAAATCTTGCATTTTTGCATTTAGGATTTAACTTTGCATTTTAGGATTAATTAGAAAATCAATTGTTTTATTAAATGGAAAAATCACAAAAATAGTTTAATTTGCACTGTTTATTTTAGCTTTGATTTTTGAGTTAGTTTTTTTCTGTTAATTTGATTTTAATTAATCATGATAATTATCGTTTAGGCTTAATTAGTGTATTTAGGTTAATTCGATTTAGGAATTAATTTAGAATTT